TCGATTTCCATCCACACCTAGCCTAATTCGACATGGCCATGTCGAATTTAGCGCTACTCCCCTCGTCGGGGAGGAGTACAGAAGTCGAATTAAAGAGACCTCTATGTCGAACTAAATAGCATCGCAGTGTGGACGGATGCAGGGTTAATTCGATTTAACGGCGCTAACTTCGACATAAACGCCTAGTGTAGACCAGGCCTAAGAAAAGTCTGAGTGTGAACATGGATTTTTCTTCTACCAGGTTATTCTGCAACGCCGAGTGCGTGGAATTTTTGTTTTGTTTTTAAGTTATTGTAGTTGTATTTGGATTTGGGCAAAGATTCACTCTCACAAGCCAGTCTCTTCTTTGAATAGGTTTGTCTGCTGCAGTGACAGCATCCAATCCCTGGAAGGTTGTAGGTGTTTGGAAATGCATTGGGCTCCAAGGGCTTCTATCATTAGAGACCTATCCACTGAGTTTGTCAATACTTGTCTTCCTAGCCAGAAGACAGCTACTTTGTGGGGGAGGGGAGGGAAAAAAAGCAAACTGGGCCAGAGGAGGCAATGTAATAAAGAACATTTCTAATAACAATAGATGCTAAAAGCCCTGCTTGCAACAAGGTTGAACTTGTCTTCTAACCAGGTTACAAATAGTAATACACTGGTAAATGGAGCCTAGACAATTTGTTTATATGCAGATCAGCCTTCTGTCTCCACACTCCCCTTTGTACTAATCCCAACAAAGACAATATTAAGGGCAGAAAAAGTGATGCTAGTAGTCTGAAGTCCAAACTTTCTGCAAATTGAGAGTAAAATATGCCTACATCAAGCAATTATTTATAGGATTTGCCTTGGAGTCCAAATATCTAAGTATGCATATGGTGTTTATTTTTTAGCTGAAGAAACAATTTCCCACTATGAACCTGAAGATTCCAGCTAAAAGAATATTTGGAGACAATTTTGATCCAGGTAGACTATGACTTGGTTATTATTCCTTTATTTTGTTCTTTATTTTGGATTTAATCTATCTTGCTTGCACAGAATTAAGCTTAAATCAATATAACTGCAGTCCTGTAGTAGGGCCTTTCCTTACTACTGAACCAAAGTAAACATTTGTTTAGTTTCAGGTTAGGTTAGCTCTTTTGTGCAAGACAAACTACATCAAAAGTGGAGAGAGAAATAAAGATTTTAAAATATCTTTGGTAATGGTTACATGTTGATGCCTGCTTATAGAGTAGGTCTGTAGCTGTTGGATTTTGTCACTGACTTCAGTGCTAGCAGGATCAGGGCCAGTGTGCTCTCCAATATAAAATCTAGGCCATTGTGACTGCACACTCTGAATTCTTGTCACATGCAAGATCTGTTGGGCTGAGTAAATTTTTGCTTTTTAAAATGTATAATAAAATGAAAGTTATATAGAGACTGGAGCTCCTATTCTTTCCCATTTCATATTTTTTCTATACAAAATCCTCATGTGTAAGCCCAATTATATTCAGACGCTTTTTTTTCTGTTAACTAACTTCCATTAAAGTAATGAAAAAAATGCAAAATTAAAAACTTGTTTTGCCATGAATTCATTGAATGATTCTTTCTAATTACACTTTTCCCCTCTTCCCCAGATTTTATTAAACAGAGACGAGCAGGACTGAATGAATTCATTCAAAATTTAGTTAGACAGCCAGAGCTATGCAACCAGTAAGTAGTTCCTCTTCTGTTTTGTTATGGCTATTTAAATGACACGTGATACATTCCAAAAATATATGACTGACTTTAAATACTCTTTAGTTGGGTACAAAATGTGTTATCTATGGTAAATGTTATAATAGAGACAAGGTGAGGTAATAGCTTTTAATGAACCATCTTCTATTGGGGAAAAGACAAGCTTTCGAGCTGCACAGAGGTGTTCTTCAGCTCTCTTCCCTCAACAAAGTGGTCCATTAAAAGTTATTACTTCACCCACGTTGTTTCTCATTTCCTGGGACCAACTCAACTACAACAGCACAGCAAACAACTACTATAATACTGAGTTATCTCTAAGATAGATCCAAAGTGATGCAATTGTCATGTAAACACTTGGCTTGCTTTCTTAAGCCTTTTCTGCATACAAACTTGCCACCCTTTTAATTAAACACTAATTTAGCTAAACCAGTACAAATCCCATGAGAACACTTACCTGAAATGCCACTCTTAAACCAAAGTTATTTTAAACCTACTCCTAATCAATTTAAGTTAAACCAAAATAAATGTCCCCCCAGTCTTCAGCGTTGCTTTAATTAAGTCTGTGTAAAATCATACCTCTAGTTTAAATGATGCAAATCTGAATATAAACAAACCCTTAGTATTTAGTGTATTTAGATTTCTGCTTTCATTCACTTACTCTACTTAATTTGCCAATCTGCAATACCAGTGGAATGTTCTGCTTTTAGATTGGAAACAACCATTCTTAAATGGGGAACATTGCCACAATTTGCAGCATGCATCAGATACTCTTTTTCTGCTTCATGAACTGCTTTGAGGCCTCATAAACCTGAAACATGTACTTCTTTTTATCAAAAGCATTCTGCATACTCTTCCTAATGACAAGTTGAAAAAGCTTATAGACACAACAGAAAATCTTTGTCATGGAACAATTTTCTAGTAAAAGAAAAAGTGTTGGATCATAGTGGATCATACCACTGTCCTCAGCTGCGAAACAATGAAGAGTAATTCTCAAATAACAGATTATGTTCCAACAATTATTCTTTCTCATGTATTAAACAGGAAAACTTCTTTACAATATTTTTAGTAGTCCACAGACTTTTTTCCTACTCCTAGTTCTTTAAGCATTCAGCTGTGAAACATTTCAATTAACAGCTTTTTATATGTACTTTTTTCCAAAGCCGGACACTGGACTGTTTTAACATGAGGATCATAAACTTTTCTTTGAGCATAGGAACAGACGTTTTTTCCTTAAATCTTCTTGAGCTTTTCAGATCCGATTCAACAGTACATAAATTAGATTTTAATCTATTTTAAGTACTTCAAGCTAGCACTAACTATTCCAGTCCAGTGAAGACCAGTATAAACCACTATTAGAAATTGAAGATTTTAAGGTTTACTATTCCTCCCTTCCCCCAATAGCTAGTTGTCTAATTAGAAATGTATTTAATGAACAAACAGAGAATAAAGGCTTAGTCCTGTGCTCATTAAAGTAAACAACTACTTCTGTGGGAGAAGGATCAAGCTGTTGTCTTTGTAGTGTAGTACAGAATGGGATTGAAATGCATTTATTCCAGGTGTTGTTGTTTTTTTTCTTGCAGTGCAGGGATTATTAAAATATTAGATTTAAAATATTTCACTATATCGCTATTTGCTGTTGTTTTTAAAATACATTTTAAGCCACTTTTTTTGTGAATGACCACAATGAATCATACTGATTTATATAAAAGTCCACAGCCTTAGTTTTGTCTACTAATCAATATTAGTAACGGACAAAAATCAAGCCTTTAGTGAAGTTCTTGTAAAATCCATTCCCATTGGAAACTAACTATTAAAGGGGGGAAATGACCACTGTGTCCTTACAAATGGCCTCCTAAACAAACTTATTTTCTAGACACTATTTCCTTAACCTGCTACGTGTACACTCAACTAAGTAGATTAGTAACATGAAATGGATTAGTATGGGATGGGGGATATATAGAAAAAATGTTGAGTTCTGTGTGTGCACTCCAATAAACTTTCTGTAGCTCTTATCTGCTATACCACATGATGCATTAAGACAAGTGCTAGGTGGTTGTACTACCAGTCCTGCTTTGGCAAACCATACTGGTGTTGCTGGGAAATATGGAGAATTTTTTCTGTTTCAGTGGGTCCTTATCTTAGGTCTGCAATTTGTCCTTTGACTCTTTTGTATCAAAAGCAAATCTTCATGCTAAAGCATATGAGCCAACCAATTACTGTAAAGCAGGTTAGAAAGATACTTGCAAGAAATTCCATAGTGGTCAATTGTGGATCTTCCTGTGAAGTGTCAGGTACTAGCCTCCATTGTCAAAGATGGGATTCCGAGATGGACCATTGGTTTGAGCTACTATGGTAGTTCCTATGTGGATTAGCTTTAGACTCCAAATTTTTACTGTTTGCTTCATTTTAGAGAGAATTTTCTTTCCTCCACAGACTATAGGTACCTTGCAGAAAAGCTTCAGAAAAGATGGAGAATATGAACTAACATTTCTGTCTTGCTGATTCCTAATCTAGAATAGGAGGCTAGGAATTCTCTTGTTAATACAGTTGAGCTCTAATCCATTGAGCAGAATTTTAAGTCCTGCTGTCCTCCCCCTCAGCTGTAGGCCTTTACTGAAAAGATAATACGTGCAATTGTCTATCAGAACACCCTTTTAAGAAGCAGCTTAAAACCAAGTGCATAAAATAGAATGCATTAAAGGCTTAGCATAGTTTAAAAATAATTCTAGTAGCTCCTTAAGGAAAACTAAACATAGCATAACTCCGCTAGGTGACTTTTATGATGGCAGTGTCCTCTGTATTAAATAAACTGCCAGTTTCTGCAGTGAGAGACATGAACAATAGTCATTCTAGAAAAGAAATTGGGTCCTCATGGTTCCAACATCAACTAAGAAAAACAAATATAACACCACTAGATTACAGGATCCCAGTCTTTAGTTTTTCCTGCTTTCACATAGTTGTGGTCTGTCGTCATCTTCTCCACCACAAGCCTTAGTGCTTCAGGCCTGTGTTTTCTAAAACACCACAAATTGGTGTACCACTTTTTCACTAAAAAGCAACAGAGGGTCCTGTGGCACCTTTAAGACTAACAGAAGTATTGGGAGCATAAGCTTTCGTGGGTGAGAACCTCACTTCTTCAGATGCAAGTAATGGAAATTTCCAGAGGCAGGTATAAATCAGTATGGAGATAACTAGATTAGTTCAATCAGGGAGGGTGAGGTGCTCTGCTAGCAGTTGAGGTGTGAACACCAAGGGAGGAGAAACTGCTTCTGTAGTTGGATAGCCATTCACAGTCTTTGTTTAATCCTGATCTGATGGTGTCAAATTTGCAAATGAACTGGAGCTCAGCAGTTTCTCTTTGGAGTCTGGTCCTGAAGTTTTGCTGTAAG